CTTCCAAAATAAAATATATTTTGAGAATTGACTGAAAATATTTTATATTTTGCATTACTTAACTCTAAAAATAAATTTTCCCATTAAAGAAAATGAAACAAACGGGCCTTAAGTATTGAAATGGGCTTCCCCTTATTTTGGTCCGTGATTTTTTTAATAAGAGATCCATGGGCCTTGTTGCAATTAAGTTTCATTTTCACGCTCGGCTTCGAAGTACAAAGAAGAGGGAATATTGCAACCGAAGTTAGGTTTTGGTTTTGGTACATTCGTGAAGTGAACCAAATTTTCTTTGCCACTGTTATCTTTCATCTCATCACCATGAGCAGATCAGGGCAACCACCGGATTTGAAGAAGTAAGCGTTTCTTCCATTCTCTACTTCAATTTCATTTACTTTCTTCGTTTTAATTTTCTCAATTTTCGCTACACTCACTGCGAATTGATCTGCAATTGTCTTTTGTTCGAGGATGCGGCAGGTACATGGACAAGAAGCTTCAGAGTAAGTCTGATTCTCTATATGTTACTTCTCTTATTCTGTATCTTAACCTTTGCTTGTTTTGTTTTCTAAATCGAACCACGTGATTTATTTCGAGCTGGAGTGTCGGTGTTGTGTTTTAGGGTTCAGGGTTTATTNTTAATACGTGCAGGCTACACCCAGATCGCCCTTCACGTTTAATCTCAATTCAAATAAAGATAAGTGACCATTCAACGAACAAATAGTTTAACTTATAATGTTCCAATAATGGATATTGACTTTGGAGTGCTTACTTCAAGAACTTTATAAATCCAATTCAATGTTGGTGAAATAAATAAGTTAATGATTTTGTCATAATCGGAAAAAGATGGAATAGGTTAATATATGAAGCTATATTCATCAAAGAAAAACACGATGAAGAATATGCGCGGAATCATCCCAATTATCGCATTTATATTTTAGTATAAAAATGCGTATCGCCAACTAACCAGACTCTTACAGCAAACAGTATGATCTGTACGGAAGTTTGGAAAAAATAAGGGGACGCGACAATTTAAAAGGAGAAAAAAATGAGAAGAATGAAGAGTGTTGGAGACGGCTTGAACCAATCAAGAGTAATATATTATTGTAGAATAGATTGGTTGACTAAGTAAGTGAAAGGCCTTAACACAAAGACAAGTGTGTGGAAGGTAACACACGAATTTGTCTCCGGCAATGTCACGAATTTGTGTTGACAACGATCGATGATATTGTACTTCATTCTTGATTTTTCGTACTGCATTCTCTTTGTGTGGCGTTAAAAGAAGGAGACTCGGGTCTTCGGGTGTTATATACCGTAACTTTCCTATTCTTAGATAAGAAAAATAGTCTGTCGATAGGCCAATGCACCATTTCGGGCAAAAAAGAGAATGTCAGGTTTTAATTTGGGAATTCCAATGAATTCAATTCGTCAAGTCCATAGTCAAGTTAGATCAATTTGCAGGTTAAGTTTGAGTTAATGTCTAAAATAACAGTTTTTTTTAACTCCACAACTCTACATTATCTATTTTGTGTGAAAAGTAAATAATTTTAGCTGATTTTCATATTATATTAGATTTAAAAAAAAAATGAGTTCTTTTTGACAATTCAATAAATCACACCGTAAAATTCAATTCATTTTCAATTAACTAGTTAACTCGATTGGATCTATTTTTATAAACTAAAATCAAACTGGATTTAAAAATACTAGATTATGGTATTTATAATTCTTAATTACTTCTTGAACTGATGGTTTCTTGTATCATTTTTTTAAATATTTTAATGAGAAATTTTATATAAAGTGTTTCGGGTATGAGTTTGAGTCACTTCAAACACCTATATAATTTTTTCTGAGATGTTGTCTAGTAACTGCTCGTCTAGTCCTTGTCTTCGTTTTACGAAGGTGTAACTTTCTTTCATACTTAAGTTAGCAAATTGTCTGTAGGAGAGTTCAGTATAATGGTAATAAATGTACAGTGTAATCACTTACCTCTTACCTGTGACCTATATTTATAGTTTTTGACATGGACTTGAGATTAGTGAAATCTTAACCTCGGCTCAATCTCAACCCAGTTATCTCTAATTACCATTTACCTTAATCTTGTAGAAAAACCTGTTTATTAACTTAAGGCCGGACATTTTTGTTCCTAACCGTTTGGTCATGTACATCAATATTGTCACATTCAATCACTACTTAACCATTGGAGCCATACAGTACATAAAGTAAAAATTAAAATGAAAATTAATAAACCTTATTTTGATATTTTTAAATTGTAGTTGCTTTATTTATGAATTGGATTAATATATTAATTAATGTTATATTTCGTAATCTTTTCTCATAAGCCACTAATGCAATCAGGACATGAGAAAAAAAAATGTGTTTAATCATCTGAAGTTCAACGTTTTCGTGAAGTTGGATGCTTATCTTGAATTGATATAACGCAATCCCATGCTAATTATATCAAATATGGTTGGAGATCATGGTTCAAATGTTTTTATTTGAAAATAGGATCTTTATCTTTTGTATTTGTATATAATTTAACATACTGTATGTATGCACATCTTGATGTTCTCGCTCAATATCTTTACTAATGAAACCCGTCGTCTTTATTTAATTCATCTTTTGAATATTTAAATATAGTAATTTGTTTATAAATATTTGTTCACGAGAGGAGGATAAATCAAAATACTCAGTGTGCGAGGTAAAATGATATTCATTGTAGGTTCAGATAGAGGATTTTATAACTTCAAACAAAATTTAAATTAATTTCAATTCAAATATTTTGTTTAAATTTAATATTCTTTAAATATTTTATTTGAATAAAGTAATTNTCAAAAAATCAATTATGGACAAGTGAATTAAGCACAGTTCGAAAACAACAAATAAATGAAAAAAAAAATAATGTGACATATAAATTTTTTATATTCATATGATATTATTTTTATTTACTTTTTACTTTTCTTTTTCTTCTGAAAAATATAAAAATTTACTAAATAAATATAAATAAGTGTCACCTTACAATTACTAAAAATTATTTTTATGATCTAGTTTTAAAGCAATTCTGTATGTATTTTTTAACCGAAGACAATTTTACATGTCTTATTTGCTGTTAGGATAATTTATTTTAAAATTTTAAAGGTAATATAAGAATTTATTTCAATTTCAACAAATTTATTAATAAAGTCCACGATACAAAGTGAAAAAAAAAATGTAAAATATCACTACAACGAATTGATTAAGATTGAATGCGACTAATTTCGTTGCTTAACTTTCTAGACACGAATCCTAAAACTTTTATTATTCATTTTGAAAACATAAGAAGCATATATTAATATATAAACTATTGACATGTGAATGAAAGGGACACTTTTTTATTTTTTAAAATACAACATATAAAATAACATAAAAGGAAAAAACACTAAACAAATACAATTCCAATTTTCATCACCTCCACTTCAAAATTCTCATCCTTTCAATGAAAGAAACACCGAATAACATAGCCACATACCACACTGCTATGACTAACTATAATTTTTCTGTGAAAAATGTGACAGTATACATTATTACTCATAAGATGGTTATAGTTTAGAACTACACTAATCTACCTTTCCAGAGTTTGAAAGGCCCTCATCAGAAGATGTTGCAAAACCTTATCTTTATTAAATTTTCTGAGACAGTGACAAGGATGTTAAAGACATGTGGAGACAATATTAGAGTTTCTGAGATGATTTAACCTACGATGTTATGTGGTGGAGTTGCATGTGGACCAGGGAGGAGGTGCACACCACCATACCATAATCTGTTTAGGTAGATTTTAGTGAGACTAACCCTACACAGAACATCACAAACATGCACAGTTAAAATGACCCCAACCAAAAAGCATGCTCAATAATAAAAATAGTAGGTTCCAAGAAGAGAAAACAGTGACAATTCAGTGAAAAAAGTGAGAAATGGATAGGGCAGTGAACACACGTCGTGATCATGGCTTCATTAATCATCTTGTTGGATTTTGGACTTTAGATTGGTTTGGTGTGTGAGAGTAATGCTTGTTATTCCCTATGAAATGGACACACAGATTAAAGAGACTAATAGTACATTACATACTTACACGCCACCCTACACAAACTCAATTTCAAAACATAACATTCATTTTTGCTGGTGTAGAGAAGTTGGCATTAATCTTGCAATAAGTTCACCCCAACTGAAATGCTGCACGCAGAATTGGACCAAAGCTGACATGTTAAGAACTGTAATTAAGTTTTCTTTAATACATTAGGTCAGAACTTGATTCAATGTCAGTTTTGTTTTCCAGTGTAAATTTAAAGTTGCATCTTAACTGTGTACAAGCATTAAAAGTGAACTGGTAGATCAGTTCTAGTAATTAGGTAACGTTTACTCAGAAAATAAATTATGTAACAGATAACTTGTGTTTGATCTTATCAAAAAAAGTTATCAGGTCATAACAATTATAATCCTGAAAAAGAAACATTTAAAGCATGTCATAAACGTTTCTTTTAAAAAACAAGACTGATTTCTATGACCATGAAGTAAATAGTTGTTACAAGATTTGGAATTGCTATCTATACAAAATCAGATTAACATGTCCAGTTAATGCAGAAACTGCTTATTAATTGTGGATAAATGTGGAGAAAGAGTATGCATATGAATCTGTGGTTAATGTAAAAAGTGTTACTGTATATACATAAACTGTTTGCTAAAAGTGCTATGTGAGAAATTTGTATGTAATTAATGTGGTATTTAACAATGGTAAAACATTGGTATATTAAGTGAGACCCAGAGGGTGTTGAGGAGAAGTGGGGTCAAAGGTGTGATCTTTGGAAGTGAATCTGGGAAGAAAGAGAATTAGATAGGACTCAAAGGGTGGAATTATATGAGTACCAGATTGGCAAGGTGTGAGGTGGAAAGCATCGCCAGTGCCACCACCAAAAAGATGAACAAACATTAATAAATAATAATAATAATAATAATAATAGCAACGACAATTCTTACATTATGCACATCTCTCTCTCTCTTCTTCTCATCATCTGCAGCAGTTCACCCTAACCATTTCCAACAACCGCATCTTCTTCTTTTTCTTTTCTTTCTTATATGACATGATTCGTCTCCGAAGGCAAAGCAATGATGGTAACGTCTCACCTTCCGAGACCCTTTTCTTGAAGGAAACTCTACTCCACCAAAATCTTGGCTTTTTTCGGTGAGGAAATAGGAATTAGAAGGAGAGGAATAATACTAATAATAACATAATAATAATAATTAATATATTATTATTGTGTTGTTGTTATTAAAAGTGGTGGGAAGGGAAAGAATCAAATATGACGGAAGTGCTTCAGTTGCCTTCATCGTCAAGCTGTGGTGGTCTCACACCCAATGATGGGTCGCACCCAAGTTCCCTTATTAACGCTCCCACTGTGGAAGAAGGGGTGCTGCCACAGTCCCCTTTGGATTTGGAAGCTGAAGAAGAAGAAGAGGACGAAGAAGAGAGAAAAAGGGAAAGAGAAAGGGATCAGCTTTCTATTTTGACCCTTTTGATAGCTACGTTTCGGAAGTCTCTGATTGGCTGCAGCACTACAGCTTCATCTACTTCTTCCATGGAGATTGGGTGGCCTTCCAATGTGAGGCACGTGGCTCATGTCACCTTCGATCGCTTCCATGGGTTTCTTGGTTTGCCTGTTGAATTTGAACCAGAAGTTCCCAGGAGGTCTCCCAGTGCTAGGTTTGTTCTCAAGGAAACTTGGGGCTTCTTCAAAATTTAATCTTTCATAGAAATTTGCTGTCATTGTATTGGACCTTTTTTTAAGAGGCTGGGTTCTGAAAAGAGTGTTTTGTTAGAAATCTTTTTTAACGGGCTCATTTTTGGTTTCATGCCTGGAGTTTTATTAATTGAACTTGTGTGATATGGATTTTTAAAGTTGGTATCCAGTTCTTAACAGATGTGGTGAAATTTACAAGTTTATGTTTCCATATCGAGTTTTTTAGGTTATTCTGCGCTGACTGTGGTTGTATCATTGCATAGACATGGATATATCATTCCTTTGACCTTTTTCTATTTCCCCATATCAAGTCTCTGCTCTCATGATTTAGTTTTACATTGGTCTTACTTTCTAAAAGAGTTGAATGGTAGATACAATTGAAGGCTCTCTATGACATATAATTATACTTTGTTTTTTTCAGTCAGTGGTTTCTGTCATGTTATCCATATATAATTTGGTTAATTTCATACTGATAAAGTCTAAGTTGTCCGTTTTCTGAAGTGGATTTGGTTCATTGTAAAAAGTAAACGGTATAAGAAAAATGAGAGGCAGGGAAAGGCCATTTTATTTACTTGTTTGTTCATAAACAATTGATTATTTCTTGCTACTGGCACGGCAAGTAATGATAAACCCTGGTGATGTTATTTTCACATTTCTGTCAAGGGGCTGCCATTGTTGATACATAAGTACACAATGCCGAATTTGCGTTCAGTGTATGCAACCTATTTGTTTTATCAACTACTTTTCAGCGATCTTCTCCTATACCTGGCTCATTATGTGTTCGGTGTATGTATCCTTAATTCTATTATCCCCTAAACGTTGATATATTTTTTATTTACTATCCGCAGTGCAAATGTTTTTGGAGTTTCAACAGAATCTATGCAGCTCTCTTTTGACGCCAGAGGAAATAGTGTACCTACAATACTGCTGTTAATGCAAAGACATTTGTATGCACAAGGAGGCCTGCAGGTATTTATCCTAGCTCTTAGTCCTTCCTTACCTTGTGGAGAATGTAAAGGTGTTTTGAAGAAGTGTGCTTCTTTAATAGTAATGTAATGTGAGTCACTGGATGACCAATTTCCACATTATTTTTACCATGTTTTGCTTGTGATTTTACCAGAAACCTTTTGTATAATTGTTTTTTTAATTTTAATTAGACTTGAATCTTGAAATTTAAATGTATTTATCCAGGCTGAAGGAATCTTCAGAATCAATGCTGAAAACGGTCAAGAGGAGTTTGTGAGGGAAGAATTGAACAGAGGAGTTGTACCAGATGGCATTGATGTGCACTGCTTGGCAGGTCTCATAAAGGTAACTATTTTTTCCCCGTCAAGATCACAGATTTTTTTTTTCTAATTACTTTGAGATTTATTTAGAAGTAGGGTCTATGATTGTTGGATTTTGTTCTGGTCTTCTATTTGAAAGTTGTCTAGGTGAATTTAATAATATGTTGATTTTTTCCCTTTTTTGAACCAATGGGTAAGTGGTGGATGCATTCATGATATTATTTCATTAATTTTGATGTGCTTGTGTTCCTTCACAGGCTTGGTTCAGAGAACTACCTACTGGGGTATTGGACCCTCTCTCACCTGAGCAGGTAATGCAATCCCAGTCAGAAGAAGAATGTGCTCAGCTTGTGAGGCTTCTTCCTCCAACAGAAGCTGCCTTGCTAGATTGGGCAATAAACTTAATGGCAGATGTTGCTCAAATGGAAAGCTTGAACAAGATGAATGCACGTAATATTGCAATGGTTTTCGCACCAAACATGACCCAAGTAAGACTAGATCATTTTCTGTTACAAATGTAGTTTACAGTTCTATTCTTAGCCCCAATTTTTGTTATTGAATTCTTACAATACAAGTGAACCCCATCTTATTGAATGTAACTTCAGTGAGCGGAGCAAACATTTTTTGACATATAATGATACGTTTTTGTATATGTAGTAAAGTTAGCTCATTTGTCTTCAACGGAATGAATACAGAAATTGGTGAAAAAAGAATTGCAATATTAGTTTTTTCAACCTTAACAGGGGTTCAGGATATTTTTGAAGATCTGGGAAAACATTGATGTAAAAAGTCTAGTAGTTTCAGGATTTTAATTTTGAAATCGAGGCTTTGGGTAAATGTTAGTTATTACCGGAATTTATGCTATGCTGGATTATCTAATTCTAATCTAGAATAAGGTTAGCTTATTATGTTGAGTCTATAGATTGGCCACCACTGTAATCATTTTTCCTTTCCTTATTAATTATAGTTTTGAGATTTTATCTTCTTCAGAGACTATCTGACACCCTAGGCAAAGGGAGTACACTTCCGTAGAGGGCTAGAGTTGTAGCCTAGGTTCATTGTTCTAAATCATGTGCTTGTTGTGGAACTAGAGAATATTGTTTAGATGGTTGAATATTCATTCAGGATGGCTTGATATTTTCAAACCAGACCTTTTAATTCTTATGAATATTCAGAAAAAAAATTACACTTTAGTACCATGTAAATTTGGTAGTGGTTTCTTGCATTGCTAAAGTCACTGTTTTGGTGAAAGGTTATGGTTGATTTATGTTGCAACAGTGGGAATGTGTTTTTGCTCCATTAATCTTGCTTCTAGAGGTATTTTTTTTTTATGTGGTTATGATGGTCTATATTGTAATAACAGTATTTCTGTCTGGCATGTCTACTACAGATGGCAGATCCTTTGACTGCTTTAATGTATGCAGTACAAGTCATGAATTTTCTCAAGACACTGGTCGTAAAGACACTTAGGGAAAGGGGGGGGGGAGAGATAAGAGTGGAGAAATGGCGGGAACCTGCTACTGCTTCCATGTCTTCTTCTCTGCACAACCTCTCGAGCTTCCTTTCTATCTGTTATCCACAGCCACAACTCAACACTGTAACAACGTGGCATGCCTCAATGTTTCATCATCTTTTTTTTAATATCTATTCTTTATTAGTAATTAAAAAATATGATTAATCAATTTTAATGAATTTAATAATCACTTTGTCATTTAAAAAATTATTTTATTTGTTTAAGAAATCCGGAAAAATTGTTTTTATTCATATTATGTATTAGTGATCAAACATCGTGTTAGATTTTTTTATCTTCTTATTATACGTGTTTCTTATTTTATGTAAATTTTAAGTCTTTTATAATTTTAGATAATTTTAATTAAATTTTTATATATTAAGTATTTAAAATATTTCTATTTTTAATTAATTTTTTGTATTTTATTTCTTTTATATATTGAATAACATGTTGGTATATTGTCTTCTATAATTACTAGATAACTTATTTATGCATATCACCTTATGTTGCAAGATATGAAGAAATGTAAAGGTTTATGTTAATATATTACACAATATTGCACTTAATACATAGATATTAATTTTATTGTTTTAATTGGAAGTATTTTGAATAATGAGATTTTCACATTTCTCGTGTTTTTCATATCATCACCTGTGTTTTGTTGTGTTCCGAATATAACTACGAATTATAATGAAAGAAGAGTGCGAATTTTAAACCTTTCTTAGCTTCTGACCACTGTTGTTCAAGATGTAGTTTATGCGATGACAAGAACATTGTTGAAGTGAATTTTTTTAGCTACAGAACAATAACACACTAAATTGAAAATGCGAACCAACAAAAGGTCAGTTTTGTCTGATACAATTCCATTATTACACCATTTTTCTTCTCCTTTTAGTAGCTTCATTCAGAATACGAGACAGGACTTCATTTCTTAACAACACTACTACACTTTGATGAATATTTCTATATCATGTTTCATATGTTCAAACCATTTCTCTCTTCCTTAAATATCCAAACTGACAATACAAAAAATGTGTTGAACAAAGCACACAGACAACTTTGAATTCGTTAAATTCTATACTTCAGCAACGGAAAGAAAATCGTTAGGAAAGTCTGCATGGTTAATGACAGAGAACAAAGAAACATGGTTAAAAACCACAGCAAGAAACAACAACAGAAAAACACAAACACCAAATCTAGTAGTAGTAGTAGTAGTAGTGAGAATTTCCAAACGTGGAAACACAAATAGAGATCTGGCCTTTACACCTTGTCCTTTCCCTTCCCTTTCCTTCCCCATGTTGGTGCCTTCACAACACTGATGCCCTCCATCATGACATCAGCAATTATGCAGAAATCACAATTGCAGAAACATTATGGGAGTACCACTTCTCTTCTGTCATCCTGTCCCTCAGGAAGCAAGATAAAAGGATCAGAACTTTTCAACGCCAAGCTTCAGCCAACTCTGTTCTTGAATTTAATCGCCCAATGATGGCAGTTCCGAGGTTCTTCTCTGCAGCTCCTGCTACCGGAAGCTCAACCACCTTTTTGGAACATTTCTCTATATCATAAGTACTCAACTGAAGGCTTTTGCTCCTGCAAAATTTTGCAGGATCCCCCTTTGTCTGCCCAGTGGTGAGGCCACAGTCTTGAAGCCCAATTGCCAAAGAACAAATTTGAGATAAAAGATTGCAGGGACAACTGTCAACCAACAACCTAGTTCCTGCAGAAATCAAATTTTCGGTAGATGTCGGCAAACTTTTGGATTCAGTTTCACAGGCATCTTCAGTAAGATGACTGGGGCTTTGTTGAGATGGCTCTGCAGTGACAAATAGTGTATCTTCCTCATCGTCACTACAATCATTTCCACCTTCACTGTCAACCTTGTGTAGCATTTCTGAATTGCTATGGTGTCCATCATCGTCAAAAGAATTAAGGTTTGGACCAGGATTTGATTTTACAATAGACTCCTCT